GTCTGGTTCTGAGGCCCGCTGCAGTGCGAGCAGATTAGCTGTATTCACACCATTCAGTCCAGGAGTTTCTAATTGAATTAAAATGTATTTATTTATCCTTGAGGTGAAAGGGTGCCACATTTAAAGAGGAACTTTCCCAAACAAAGACACCTGCTGCCGGAGTTTTGTGTTTCCGTGAACATAGCCTAGATAAAAACATTTCCACCATAAATTGATGCAGAAAAATTCACCAGAATGCATAAAATTATGTATTTAATGCTAAAGATTTTGCTGGGGGAGGACCCCAAGACCCCCCACTCAATAAGTGGCTCCTACATTGCTAAAGGAAAACCTACCCTCTTGCGTAAACTATTATATTCCATACATTCCTCAGAATTAAAAGAAATACAGTCTCTGGTTTAACACATAGATTCTGGGACTCTTAGGTTTGGTCAAAATTAAAGCGATCATGTCTGGTGGTTGGCAAGTGTCCTGATCACACCGATCTGACCATGATTATTGACCTGCCTTTTCATCTACACATAGGCTACATGTGGCTGTGGCATGACCCCGACCCCTGCGGTGGGATATGACACAGAAGGCCTAAAATGAATCGACCTCCAACACCGAATCTCACTCAAAACTAGATTGAAAAGTTGGCAGCTCTGACCTTAGGGAGTAATCACTTCCCTAATTTTAGTGTTTTACAGGTGGAGGAGAGAGCGGTGAGGTGGTTTAAGTTTTTTAAAAGGATATTGGGATAAATTCAAAGAACATTTGGCAGCAAGCTTAGGAGATATAGTTAGCCAAGCTAGCACTGATGAGTGGAGTAATTCTTTCTGTGGAGTTGTGTGGAAAGTGTAGTCTGACAGCCTTAAGGCTTTGCCTGAAATGCATAACAGCTTTCACAGCAGTAAGAGGTGCAAAAAACAGAGAATCGGTCGCTCAGCAACATAAGTTTTCAACTTTCACTTAAGTTTCCCTTAAGTTTACCTTTAACTGCCGAATCGGAAGCTGTGACTCGAAACTTCAGCGTAGACGAGAGATGATCTGAGACTGGCGGAGCAAGAGTTCACGGATGAGCTCCTCCAAAGAAGAAAGCTCAGATTTAAGGTATGACAGTTCAGCAGGAGGCCTCATGTCCACAGTGGACACAGCAGCTGCACACCGACAGCCCGCCGGAGGAGGCGGTGAAACAGCGGCCAGTCGACGGTAGTAGAGCCGGCGAGAAGCGTTTACCCGGCGGCCGCCAAAGCTAAGCTACAAACAATTCAAGTCCACTGCTCAAGGTCCACTTACTAACCTTTTCTGTAGCTTTCCTGTAGATAAACTTTGTCCTGAATTCATCCAAAGGTCACAAACACAGAAGGAACACTTGAAATGAAGGAAAATTATCTCGTGATAATTATCATTATTGTTTTTATTGGCCAGCCCTACACAGCGTATCTGAGTGCACGTTCAATTATGTGCACCGTGGCTGTTTGGGGGGGGGCAACAGAGGCCAGTGCCCCTGTAACATAGACCTTGGACCCCCCTATGCCCTCCCTGCCAAAGTCGTTTCCTTCTCATCTTTGTTGAGTTTCACATGCTGTAACGATCACTGCCAATCAAAGCTCAACATAACGATAGTTATGTATTGTAACTCCAGATTCTATGAGTATAGGCGCAGCCATCTAAGGCCATCGCTATTGGGTTTACCCCTACGCGCGCCTTTGCGGCACTGATCAATTTTGTCTCCGCCCACCCACAGCGTGGGCCTCTCCTACGTCCGCACCTTGTATATATACAATGGTGAGACTCGAGTCGAAAAAATTATGACTTTAGACTCGACAAAATCAAAAAAGACTTGCGACTCGACTTTGACTTAAACCCCTAATGACTCGTGACTTCACTTGGACCTTAGCAACTTGACACTCCCCATGCCCAACTATAAATTATGATATAAAAAACTGTGCAGCACATCAACATAGCGCGGTGCTCAATTAGACGTGGCTTCCTCCAGCAAGAGGGAACAATCACCGACCGTCCGAATCGCGGCCGGCCGCACCGCAATCTCTTGTCTTTGGCCCTGTACGCCCCAGCGACCCACTTCCTCTCCGGTACCTACAATGGGTTGTGTAGTAGGCCTACTACCAGCGCGCTGTGAACCGTTTGTGATCGGACCCTCTGGCTGGATGAATTTTACGCATAAATCATTCACAACAGCTGGGGGCCTGACACAGCGCCACATAACTTTCTAAATTCCTCCATGTCATGGAAAAAATAAAGGTCAGGTCGAAACGATGTAGAGAGACTGCCACAGCTGTTGTGTGAAGCTGCTTCCACCAATTATAAAACAAGTTAATTAAGATAAAACGATAATAGCGCTGAGTGCTGTTTTACAACGACACTTGTTTTTTAAATCCACAGCACCTCTTTCCTTTACAGCTGAGGTCCTCCCTAAAAGGTGTGTTCAGTGTTGCTTTACTTGATCAGTGCTTGTAAAATATCCACGGTGTCTGCGTCTTCTAACGTCATAGTGATTTATAGTTTTCTCATGAAATTATAGAACATCTGTTGTGTACCTTCTTTCTGTACAGGCTAATGCTTCATTCAATACATTTTTTTTATTTATAACTTTTGACATTTTTTGGGAATTTGGTGAAGAGCGCATTATGACTTGTTTAGGACTCAAAACTCAAAAGTTTAAGACTTGGACTTGACTTAGACTTGTTGGTGCTTGACTTGAGACTTGACTCGGAGATGCCAGTCATGATGCTCGACTTGGGACTTGAGTGCTAAGACCTGAGAGTTGACTCAGACTTGTAAAACGATGACTTGGTCCCACCTCTGCTGAGAACCAAGGCTCAGTGAGGCCCACTGCTTAGAGGGCTGCGCCTATACTCATAGAATCTGCAATACGTAACTATCGCTCAATTTGTATAGGCTTCGCCCTCTAAGGCCATTGCTATTGGAGGCGAAGCAGGATGAGTCAACGCCTCACTGGCCCATACGGTACCACCAAGTACAGAGCCAACATAATAAGCCACCCAATCCCCCGCAGCCCGTGGCATTGGTGTAGCCATGCACGCAATCACCAATGGCGCAACATGGGAAGGCAGAGAACCGACCCATGCGTAAAAGACCGGGGATCGGAAGTGGGGGGCCCTGCAGCTGTGCAGGTGCAGACGAGGTCACGACAGCAACCGCATCAGCTGCACACAGAGCAGGGCCAGCGTGGTCAGCGGCCACTCCCCCTCTGTCCGGATGGGAGAAGCGCACCGCGCACTCACAGAGGACAATCACTCGGTATCGATCAATCAATTCTTAAAATGCACAGTGAGGAGGGTTGCTGGAGGAGCTATGAACGAGGATACATCGGTGTATCTTTTGCGGAAGTCTTTTCAGCCGCTGTGATGTTTACAAGAGGCGTGACAAGCAGCTGGACCAACCCATGGCCGGAGCAGGACGCTGCAGTGTTGCTGTTGTATTCATACGTTGTATTAGCCTATTAAAAAGAATCAAATGCGCAATCAAACTTTCTGCCCTTCATCGTTTGTGTAGCGCCTCATAAAGCGCTGTTCTAGCTGCATTCCTTAATGTCATTTCACTTTGACATCACTGATGTTGTTGTTGTTGAATGGGATGTGTGGATTGTAAAAGTGAACATTAAATAGCAGCTGAATGAAGCGTCTCCCCAGTGACACTGTGCGCATTTACGCACGAGCCACAGCAACATAAATAAATAATAATAAATCTCCTGACACGCCGACAGGATCGGTCAGGATCTGGTGTTAATTCATGTTCTGTGTTCTTCTTCACATCCAAAAGGTCTCAGAGTCCAGTTTCATACAGTAAAACTGTTTGGAGTAAAGCAGCCGTCCTCCTGATCAACCCTGAGCTCCATCAGAGTCTAAACGTGGATTATAGAAGCTGAAAGTTTAATTCTGTTTCCTCTCTCTGTCCTGTCAAGTTTATTACTGCAGGTTTTTTCTGTTTAGTCCAACAATATTTGCTGTGACATTACTGCACGGATGGAAACGTTTAAATGACTGACTGCAGCCTCTTTAGACTCATAGAAGCTACAACACACATGAAAGAAATCACCTGGAAAGCTACAGGGACGGTGGAGGTGGGGGTGAAACGTCCATGCAGATTCTGGTCTCTAAATGTGATAAAATACTTAGTTAGTGGGGGGCGGGTGGATGATGAGCCGCTCCGCGCATCACATCAATTCAGCTTCTATAATTGTGGCAAAACAGAGCAAAGAGCTGCTGAAGTCAAATTATTAGGCTGTAAAATCAACCAGAGCATTCAGCACTGAGCTGCTGTGTTTCCATGTAGTCTGCATGTCATTCCAACAGTAGAATCCTGTGATGACCGTTTTAACAGTTACTGAGTCATTTTTTAAAGGGACTGATTATGAAACTCTCACCTCATCAGGCTGAGGGTTGAAGTTATTTCCAGCTTACAGGTGCATCTCAAAAAAGTAGTAGCCTACTGTGTAGCCTAGTGAATGATCAGGCTGCTGTAATCTGACTGTTTTCAACAGAATCTCAAGATGTTTCTACGTGTTATAATGTTGACAGACATGTTTCTGGATTGTGAAGATCTGACCTGTAGTCTTTAGAGCGGACAGCTGGTCTGCTGCTCAGAGAGATATCACAGCACAACAGTGGACAGATGATGCAGCTGTGCAACAGTTCACATTTAACTGACGTCGCTTTAAAATGACGGCTCTGAGGAAAGGACATCTCATTTCGTTAAATCGCCATTTCCTCAACTCCTCGAGCTCACATCTCGGGTGGGAGGGACTAAGACGTGCCGCGAGGAGTCGAGGAGGTGGAAATTTGGGAAATGAGAAAGGAGAGGACAATAATTGACATTCTCCTCCCATGTCTTCTTCAAGTCAGACAGTAGAAGAATCAGTTTCAGCCTGTTTCTCTGTCACACTGACAAACTGAGGAACACTGCTTCATGTTGAACAGCAGTTAGGACTCATGTTGGATAGAAAATCACTCTGACTGTGTTTCTTCCTCCAGGGTGGACCATGGTGGAGAGCAGAGGTTAAAACCTGATGTGAGGAAGTGTAAGTGTGGATTCAATCTGACTCATGATGACAAAACAGCACACAGTCAGTTTCTCTTAATACAAAGTTGATAGTTGTGATATTTATTCATTCAAACATTACTGACTGAGAATAAACCTTCAGATGTGTCTGATGATAAACTGCTGCTGTGTTGTGTCTCGTTCTCTCCATCAGATTTCTGTGAACTCACACTGGACACAAACACAGCACACAGAAAGCTCAAACTGTCTGACAACAACAGGAAGGTGACATGGGTGAGAGAGGAGCAGCCATATCCTGATCATCCAGAAAGATTTGACTTCTGGCCTCAGCTGCTGTGTAGAGATGGTCTGACTGGTCGCTGTTACTGGGAGGTCGAGTGGAGAGGAGGAGTTTATATATCAGTGAGTTACAGAGGAATCAGAAGGAGAGGATACAGTAAAGACTGTGTGTTTGGATGTAATGATCAGTCCTGGAGTCTGAAGTGCTCTGCTGGTCGTTACTCTGTCTGTCACAATAACAGAGAAACAGTCCTCCCTCTCTCCTCCTCCTCCTCCTCCTCCTCTAACAGAGCAGCAGTGTATGTGGACTGTCCTGCTGGCTCTCTGTCCTTCTACAGAGTCTCCTCTGACACACTGATCCACCTCCACACCTTCAACATCACATTCACTGAACCTCTTTATCCTGGGTTTAGGCTCTGGTCCTCTGGTTCCTCCTCAGTGTCTCTGTGTTCTGTGTAGGAGGGAGACAACTTCCAGTCCTGTGGTTTAAATGTTGGTGGTGGACGAGGCTTCACTTTGGTTAACATCTGGCTCACTGATTGTGCCTTTAATGTCAGAAATGTGTTTTCTTAGAAATGGTGAAATGATCTCAGGGCTGAACTTGTTGTGGGTTAGGGTAAGACTTTAGTTATTTTCTTTATCCTATTCACCTGCAGTGACCTGTCAAATCTGTGCAAATTGGCACATTTTTTATTAGTTAACGCCTAATTTGCATATCAATTGTAATGACGTTATTAGACACAAATGTTAATGTGTTTTCACCTGTAGTGTCTCCATCAGTACATTAGGTTGTAAGGCCATGAGATATTAGCCTTAGCTAAACTTCAGCTAACTTATTACATCAGCTCAGCTCATCAGTCATGCGTTAGCAAGACATGGGCCTATACTGTCTTTTGTCTTTTGTTTAATTAGCAGTAAACTGGAGGCACTGGTAGTCTTTTTTTCATCACCACTCACCTCCACACAAGCCAAGAAAAACAGTGCTGGGAGAGAAGCTGGAGGGGCTGCTGTCTGTCTGTGAGCTGCAGAGCGAAAACTTAACAGTTCTGCATGATGATTCACTTTTAAAACCTACAAGGCTGATAAATAAAAGTAACAGTAGTTTGTTAAGTACCGGCTGCGAATTCTTATTTTATTGTTGTATTTTCTGTCTTAACCTCCGTATTTAATTTAAAAAAAATGTGATCACATTAAAAAAGTCAGAAACAACGTTTACCATCCAGATTTTATTTCTTTTAGTTTACAACATTTTAAATTCACCTTCAGAGGAGAAGTTACAGGACGACACATGTTAACAGATGTTGGATCAGCTGAGAGCTCTGAGACACGACTATAAAACATCAACAATGCAGCTTCACCTGACGACATGAAAACACACCGACAGCTGATACTGAGATTATTCTGCTGCTTCATATTCTGAATTTATTTAAATTAATTGGTCTCTGAAAGTCGTGAATAAATTTCTTCTTCAGCGGTTTCAAACATGCAGAACTTCATTGACTTAAAGGAGAACTTTAAGATGAATTTCCTAAAAGTGACAAACATTTAATTTGGAGGCAAAAAGTCATTTAAAGCCTTTGCAGGAGTTCATCAACTGATTACTTTGTTTTTTGGTCTGTATCTGAGTCACTGCTACGATTATTTTCATTGTTGATTCATCTGTTTATTTTCTTAATTAATGAATCATTTTATCTGTAAAACAACAGAAAACTGAAAATGCTCATCACAACTTCCCAGAGCTCAAGGTGACGTCTTTAAATATCTTCTTTTGTCCATAAATTCAGTTCATTATGTTAATTTATTAATTTTTGGCCTCCAGTTCTTAGTATCAGCTCTGATTCAACAGCACGACGGTGAAACACGATCACTGATACTAGTTTGACTAAAACACAAAACTAGAAACAACTTTGTCTCTAAACAAACACTGAAGTGACACGAGTTCAGCTTCGACTTCATGCTGACAGAAGAACAGAGTTTCCAACACACTGAAGTTACTTTAAGGTTTAAAGTCAGTTTGAGTTGTTCACACCTGCTTTGCTTTTCACTTATTGATGATTTGATGTTGCAGAAATGAGAAAAAACTAACAGAAACAAGGGAAGAAAAAGCAGATCAAATCTAAATGTTCTTCAAAGTCAATAAAAAGATTATTATACAGGCCAATCAGAAACAAACAGTGAATCCAGCAGCTTTGTGAAGGATTGAAAGAGTTCAGTGTGAGAGAAACTGTGCAGCACATCAGCCTCCAGAACAGCAGCAGAGTGAAGTTTGTCTTTTAAACGGATCAAAACTCTTTTAAATCCAGTCTTTGGGCTCAAATGAGCTTCTGGAAGATTTACAGTTTGTGACATGAAATGCAGAAAGAAATTTGAAGCCAGTGGCTGTAAATCAGCATTAAAACTGTGATAATCCTTTCGTAAGACCAGATATTTATACCGATATCATATGTGCACAAATTTGGTTTAGACATCGTTTAATCTTTTCTACATTCAGAAACGTGAGTTTTTCCACAAGAGTTTTCACAAGGACATCCAACCAGCGAACAGCAACTCTCATTATAAGCCTCTTCCTCCCTGATCATTTCATCTACATTTTATTTAATTAATACATTTGTACTTTCAGTGTTTATCTTGAACGTGATGAGACGTCCTGCTGAGTCAGATTCAAAGCACCAAATACGTTAATTACATTTTTATCATCATTCTTGCTCCCGCTGCGAGTGGTTCTTCAGCCCTCACGCCCTGTTCGCCGCACACACACTTCCTCCTGTAAGTCCTCTGTAAAAACAACTGCTTTATGTATCTATGGGTTCTCCAAATATCACAAACACTGGATTCAGATCTATGATGCCAAATTAGGAGCAAATCAAAGAGGTTCAACGTTACTTCATCATTATATGGATTATATTCAGTAATATGACACCAGACTTCTGTGGTGTTTTGCACGTTTCTAAACTTGTGTTCTTTTGAAGCTCAGAGATGCCACTCAGACAACAAATGCTCCCAGCGTCCCCATTCCAGGTTGAAATTAGCTTTTCCCCCACTAGTAGTATTTTATGAATTTAGTGGTGTTTTGTTAATTTAGTAGTATATCTTCAGGGAATAAAAGACCTCCTGATCGTTCTTTGCCCTTTGTGCAGCTTTGCAGAGTTGTGTCGGGTACGTGGACCCCGTTAAAACCAATAATGTGACGAATAAGTGAAGTGTTGAATCCCGGAGGCGACGAATCACATCACAGCAACATGCAGCAGCTTCTAGTTAAAGTTTCTACAGAATGACAGCTAAGATCATGCATCACATAACCACTGAACCACAGACCGATAATCACACTACAGACTAAAACTACGAGTCCACCAGCAGCCGTCACTTCTAACAGCCTTTAAATTTCGACAGAGACGCTTTTAGTGCTTTTAGTGTTTTAATCTAGATTTCAAATCCTCCAATCCACAGATTTCTGACGTTTTCTCGACTCGTCAAACTTGTTAAATGTTGTCTCGTCTCTTCAGAGGCTTGTAGGCGGAGCCGGTTCCAGATGAGTCGGGAAAGTCCAACAACAAGCTTCTGATTGGTCCAGAAGGCGTCCGGCTCCTGGTGGACACTCAGTGCTCTCTTAATCTTCACCACGAGGTCACAGGATGCTCTCCCGCTCCTCGCCGAAGGTGACGGTGTCGGAGGACACGGTGCAGATCTCCGGTGGGTCTCCAGGTTTCAGCCCCCTCTTCAGGTGAACCACTCGGACGTTCTCGTTGTTCGGCCCCGGCCTGGTGGTGCCGGAGGTGCCAGAGCTCGGGGAGATGATGACATCACTGGAGGAGGAGGAGGTGGGGTTGGAGGAGGTGGAGCCCTCTGCAGGCTGGCGGGGGCGGTTGCCCTGCTGGGCGTTGGTGTTGTTGTTGAGGGTCACGTTGCTCGGCGTGCGGTTCAGGTTGAAGCTCTTGGATGAGGGCCAGCTCTCCTCGGGGCTGCTGGCCAGCAGGCTGCACTGGTCCTCGGAGCAGATGGACATGCGGGCGACGGCCGGGTCCTGGAGGCCGCTGAGGCTGCTGGGAAGGCCGCGCTTCCTGGCCAGGCTCTCCTCATCCAGCTCGATCAGGTTGGCTCTCTCCAGCTGCGACAGGTCCGCCTCCTCGTCCTGCAGCGAGTGGTTGGGTGAGCTCTCATTGGAACGCACGCCGGAGTCCGACGAGTCCTTCTTGTCCAACATGGCGTCCGACAGGTAATCCTTACCCTTCAGCGCCAGTGAGCCGCCAGGGAGTTTAGGGTCGACCACCTTCTTGCCGTCTTTCAGCAGGGGCGCGTTATCTGACTCCTCTGACTCCTCGTCATCACTGGTCAGCTTCTGGTAGCGCAGCCCGCCGCCCGCCTTCAGCTTCAGGTCGGTGGCGCCCTGGAACAGACCTCCTCGTTCTGCTGAGGTCTTGCGGGTCAGCAGGGACTTGGAGGATCCGTGGTCTCCCTTCTCATCCTCCTCTGTGATGGGGTCCAGTGCGTCACCATTGGGGGCGAAGTCGGTGTTGTCTGGTGCCGGTTTGGCGCTGCTCCTCTTGGTGAAGGATTTGCGTCCGTCCTGCTCGCCACCATCTTTGCTCTTGTCTTCGGATGATGATGTCATGAACTGTCCCGGCTGTGGCTGGACGGGCCTCTCTCCGCCGCTGCCCCCGCCCATCTCCACCTGGGCCATCTGGGCGATGTACTCCTGGTAGGCGTTGCGGTACTCGGCCTGCTGCTTGTCCGTCAGCTTGGAGATGTCGTTGGAGGACTCCTGAGAGTTCAGGCTGGTCATGCTGGCTGTTCGGTGGGCGCCACCCTGAAGATAGAGAGCACAGAAGAAGAAGATTAATTAATCAGTGAATTTCATTAAATATCACTGACTGTCTCTTGTGATATGAAACTAAATATTGTCTGAGATCATGATTATTGTCTTTGGTTCATCCAAGATACAAAGAAACATGTTGTCTCTCTGCTGTCAGACAGTTTTGGTTTAATTTGTTCTGAGATATCCGTCGTCCCCTAAACAATGAATGAAATGTAGTTAATGTTGCTCCCAGGTGTGAAAGTTGACCTTTAAAACATTCATTAGTGCCCCTGTTAGTCTGGATAACCCACAGGAGGTTCAGTGTTTGGTGGTTTACCATCCACTGCATGTTTCCATTTCTTGCTGGTTCGTCCAGTCCCACAGTGCTTAGCTCCTCGAAGCTCAGGTTGAAGCTGTACATCGGGGAAGTGTCTGGGTTGGCAGCGCCGGCGTGAGGCGGAGCCACCGCTCGCCTTCCCGCCTCGACGTGACCGCCCACAACGCTGCCTTGCTCACTGGCAGCGTCCTCATGCAGCACCTGACTCTCTATGTGACGCATGTCCAGAACCTGCAGCAGGTGGAGAAGACCGTTAAAGTTTAAACTGGAATCTGTTGAAGAGTCTGATAACAGTACTGAGCTGGTTTTCTTACTGGGTTTGTGTCTTGAGCCTGGGGCTGAATCCTCTAATAGGACTAGCTACATGGCTAACTGAACTAGATTTTACTGAATTAGCATTTATTTTTGATAATTTAACAAACTTTTACGCATTTACACCAAGACTATTTTTACTATTTTATGAGCCAAATGATTAAAAGAGAAAATAACTGACAGACTATCCGATATATTTGTTTTTGTTATTGTGGCTCTACTTCACATTTACCAATCCATGGGATTATTAGAATGCTAACATTTAGTGTGTTAGCTCGCTAACATGCTAACGTGTTACATACTGACCGTGGCTCTGAAGAGCTGCCAGTCTCCAAAGTTCATGTTCATCTCCTTCTTCAACTCATCAATGTTACACTGAGACAAAACTCTGCCGTTAACGTTCGCCTGGAAACAAAAAAATATGAAAATTAATTCAACATGTAAAACATTCATTTCATTCTCATTTACAAACGAGGATCAGGTGTGAGACCGGGGTGCGGTCCAACAGGCTTTTTTTCTTATAAAGGTTTCTTACTGAGTCGCAATCAATGGGAGATTTAAATCTAAGTTCAGAGTCAAGCCATAAATCCAGGTATTTAACTTCATCAACTCTATGCAGAGAAGATTATTAGATTTTTAGATTTTGTTTTAAGGCTCTTTCTTGTACAGAAGTCCATAGAGTAAATTTTTGTTTTATTGAGCAATAGTTTATTAGATAACAGCCATTTTATAAGGTATTGAAATCCGATTAAAGGGCAATTTGGATTTGCAGTAAATGAGGTAAATATAAATGACAGTATCATCTGCATATGGTCGAACAGAAGAATTAGAACAGATTAAAGGAAGATCATTAATAAAAATAAAAAGACAGGGTAATGAAGTTATATTTTTAACCGGGTTGTCCAGGTCTAGCCATCATGAAAGAACACAGTAACAATGCACACATTCTCCTTTACATCTTTCCTTGACCTCATGACGACAGAGAAGTTCTTTTACTTTTTGACAGCAGCTCAGCTTTCATCACTGTGTGAAGTTGTGTCACTGACCTTCCTGATGGTGGCGCTGTACTGAGCTGTCATGCTCTGGTCGATGCCTTCGATCTGCCGTACACGCTCACAGACGGCCTCCGTCGTCATGGAGCTGAGGAGGATGGCTGGAGCGCCCGACACCACGGAGGCCGAACCCTGAACACAAACACACACAGGTTTGATTCCCAGAAAACACAGCAGCACATTCAAAAGCAGTTTTAAAACTGTGAAACTACATTTTTAAAGTTTTTAAATGTAGTTTCTAGCTCAGGACAGACACAGGAAACAGCGTCAGGCAGAAGTCACACTGACCCGTCAGGACTGACCCGAGTTTCTACAGAGATGTTAGTGATGTTTCTACAGCGAGAACACAGAAGAGAAATGGACCAAGAGTCTAACAAGAAATGTCAGTAATGCTGAAGAAAATTTCCAGAGTTGACACAAATATCCTAGATTTTTATCCAGATCCCTGTTGTTGTTTGAAACTGTACCAGGAACTGTGTGAAGACAGGAAATCACTCTGAGGGGAACTGAAATCAATACTGCAGGTTATATTTTACTCAACAAATTCATCATTATTCAATCTCTTTTCTACCGAATCGTTTCTTTGTAACCAGTACATTGTGGCTTCTTGAACAGATTTTTGGGAAGGGGGGCAAAGGTCAAACCAGCCAACAGATTTTAATCCTGATCAGATCAAACATGTCCAACTGCTCTACTGAGGCTACAGGCTAGTCCAGGCAAGGTGCATGCTGGGAGTTGGAGTAGGCAGAACAATTAATAGTGAGTTAGTCTGAATGTGGGAGCTGAAAGGAGCAAGAACAAGGAGGGAGGGAAGGAAGGAAGGAAGGAAGGAAGGAAGGAAGGAGGGAAGGAAGGAAGTAATGTTAGGGAGAGTTCAATACCTGCTTCCTTTTCAAAGATGAAACCCTATACTGCAGACAGACAAACAGACAGACAGACAGACTGACAGGTGAGGATGAAGCACAGCTGGAGAGAAAACATCTGGAAAACAGACAGCAGACAGGACAGAGAGTGGAAATGACTGCTGACAATATTTTCAGTTTCAGAAGAAGAAACTAAAATTCATCTGTAACACATTAAAAACAAGTTTCAGTGTTTCCAAAGCTACACAGCCCCACAAACCACAGAAGAAGAACTGAGTGGAGGAGGCGTGGAATCCGGCATCGTCAACAACAGCAGAAGAAGAAGCAATAAGAAAACCAGAAACTAGACACTGGTGATGCTGGGAAGGTTTAACCTCTAAACGTCTTGATGTGAAATAAACTCAGGTTCCAAGTTTGTGATACTTACAGGTGCGGCGTCCCGGCTGATGTAGGTTTTAGGAAGTGGGCGTGGATAAAAGTGTGGTGGGTAGGAAGCCACGAATGGGCGTGGCAGCTGGTAAAGGTGATGGGGGAAATATGGCTGAGGGGGGGAGGGGCAGAAAATCAAAATAATGTTCATGGAGATGATTCAACATGAAACAACAAGGAGGAGAAACTTAAAAACCAAAAATCACACAGTGAGTCTCTGCTGCCTCTCTACAGCTCAGAGGATGAGCTGATGTGATGGAGACTGGAACATTAATGGTTGGTCGGAGATCGGAGCTGGGAATGACGTCACACCGGAGTTGACAGCGTTCCAGTTAACAACTCGGAAAACCTGACACGGCCAGCCGCTGTTTACAACTAGCCAGGTTAGCCATTTTAACACCAGCAGATAAAAAAAACGCATTGTGCTGTATTTACTCACACTAAACACAGTAGCAACAAGACCGCAGACAGCAGCTGGCCAGCACTTTGTGTAAGAGGCACAAGTACACAGAAGGGCTAATAAACAGTATAAACTACAGCTTTCACTAACTGTTGATAATCGGAGCAGCCATCTTGGATCACAAAGTCGGGGTAGTGCGGTTCTCCCGACTTTCCAAATCCAACTTAAGGGGGCGTTCACTTTGAAACTGACATCTTACCATTCCTGTAAAACTCTCCTAAAACACCTTTCCAAGGTGACCCAAAGTAAACTGAATGAGGTTCTTGAATCATTTGGAGTAAATGGTTTTGGGCTTCTCTGAAAGATAACTTTCTAAAGAGTCCAACCCAACAGTCAGAATGGAATAATATAAGTTTGAACATATTAACAATAAAAGTTTTTTATTTCTGCTTGAAAATGTGTGCTAAGCATGTAAACTATAGCTGAAAGCCATATTAGCTAAACACTGGGGCCACAGCACGAAGCCTTACTTAGCACAAGTTTAAATTTTATAGCAATACCTCAGAAAATTTATATTTTACACACAGTCTGTCTACTCTAACAGCTGCTGCAGCATCACTCTATGTTGGCCGGCAGCTTTACACAGATTTGTTTTTTGCTGGTAGATCATGAACTTCCTACTTGAAGATAGATACCATTATTTTCAGAATTTTATTGGCTACACAAAGTGCTGTGCATCTGCACTATTGGCTCGGCCTACCAACAAAATAATAGGGGCTGGCACTTCATTACATCACAGGCTCTCGCTGGCTATTAGCTGTGGACGGGACTTGTAAGCTCCTATTTGGTCGAATTAGGTGTCAATTGAAAGGTCAAAGTTCAACAACCATTTTGAAATCGCAGGTGTTTACATCCAAACAGGAGTTACTATGGTTATAATGAAATATTAGGCACGTCTGCCGGCTCATATGAAATGATGCAGCAGCAGTCACTGGGGATTTATTGATTTCTGTTTTGGACTAAATTTTTTTACTGGACTGGATCATCTGGTTGTAACAAGACTATTTTGTTGGAATATAATTGATTGATGGATTAATGTGAGGCTTCATAGAGGAGTCAGGTCAATTTTGATTGTATTGGGTGGTCTGACAGAGGCACTGATTGGGCCCACTGTTGTGATTGTAACTTGAAATGGTTTGCATTGGTCAAATCACAAGGATTTAAGCTTTCCAACCGTGTATCACATGAGTATGAAACAGCAGCTGTTTGGACATTCAGAAAGCTAGACCTGAAAGCGTCGGAGTGTAAAAAGGTTAATTACACGGTTTCTGCCAGCAGAGACTCACTGTGAAACACACTTCACCTGACAGCACAGAGAGGACATGAAATCAAACTGAAGCTTTAAATGATAAAAGGTGAAACTGAACCAGGTGAGCAGGAAACTGTATGCAACTGTGATGACATCAGAGCTTTGCCAACCAGGTGAGTGGACGGCGAGTCAGGGACGGCGTTTCAGTCCTCAGAACTCTGTCACCTGTCACTGTGAATGACATCATCAGGTATGGTGGGCGGAGCCTGTACTCACCCGGTTGTAGAAGGGGTGCTGTGGCCCCACCATGCCGCTGTAGTAGCTGCTGTGAGGCTGCTGTGAGACTCCGCCCCCCGGTGGCTGGTTGAAAGGCCCGCTGAAGGAGGCGGAGGGCGAGCACATCGATGACACCTGGCTGTAGACCGAGGTGGGGCGGGGCTGGGCCTCCTGCATGGGGAGGGGCGGGTACGTGACCCCGCCCATATTCACTTGTTCCCGGGCAGCACGAACATCTGGATTAGAACGAGAGAGAAAAAATCCGGGTGTGTAGTATTAGTTTTAGTCGCAGTATTATCACTAGTAGAAGTATTATCACTAGTGGAAGTATTATCACTAGTGTTACTTCCACTAGTGATAATACTTCTACTAGTGATAATACTGCGATAACTGATGACACTAGTACCACTATTATCACTACTGAAAGTATTATCACTAGTGGAAGTATTATCATTAGTCGCAGTATTATCACTAGTGGAAGTATTATCACTACTGAAAGTATTATCACTAGTGGAAGTAACACTAGTGAACGCATAAACACTAGTACCACTATTATCACTACTGAAATTATTATCACTAGTCGCAGTATTATCACTAGTGGAAGTATTGTCACTAGTGGCAGTATTATCACTAGTCACAGTATTATCACTAGTGGAAGTATTGTCACTAGTAGCAGTATTATCACTAGTGGAAGTATTGTCACTAGTAGCAGTATTATCACTAGTGGAAGTATTGTCACTAGTAGCAGTATTATCACTAGTCACAGTATTATCACTAGTGGAAGTATTGTCACTAGTAGCAGTATTATCACTAGTGGAAGTATTGTCACTAGTAGCAGTATTATCACTAGTGGAAGTATTATCATTAGTCGCAGTATTATCACTAGTGGAAGTATTATCACTAGTGGAAGTAACACTAGTGAACGCATAAACACTAGTACCACTATTATCACTACTGAAAGTATTATCACTAGTCGCAGTATTATCACTAGTGGAAGTATTGTCACTAGTGGCAGTATTATAACTAGTGGAAGTATTGTCACTAGTAGCAGTATTATCACTAGTGGAAGTATTGTCACTAGTAGCAGTATTATCACTAGTGGAAGTATTGTCACTAGTAGCAGTATTATCACTAGTCACAGTATTATCACTAGTGGAAGTATTGTCACTAGTAGCAGTATTATCACTAGTGGAAGTATTATCACTAGTCACAGTATTATCACTAGCGGAAGTATTGTCACTAGTAGCAGTATTATCACTAGTGGAAGTATTATCACTAGTCGCAGTATTATCACTAGTGGAAGTATTGTCACTAGTAGCAGTATTATCACTAGTGGAAGTATTATCACTAGTCGCAGTATTATCACTAGTGGAAGTATTGTCACTAGTAGCAGTATTATCACTAGTGGAAGTATTGTCACTAGTGGAAGTATTGTCACTAGTAGCAGTATTATCACTAGTGGAAGTATTATCACTAGTCGCAGTATTATCACTAGTGGAAGTATCTCCCTCAGTTTGGGGTAGTACTGGCATCAGTATTAATCGCAGTAGTACTACCATTAGCAGTACTGTCACCTGTGATGATCTCCCTCAGTTTGGGGTAGTACTGGCATCAGTATTAATCGCAGTATTACTACCAGGGGCAGTACTGTTACCTGCGATGATCTCTCTCAGCTTGGGGTCCAGGTTGACGGTGCAGGGCAGGAAGGTCCGGATGTCTCTGGCCGTCAGGACTGGAGTCCGAGACGACAGGAAGACCTCGAAGCTGCGCACGTCTCCGTCGATCTCCAGCAGAGGCTCCACGTCTTTGGTGGTCGGGATGTTCTTCGACACCCTGAGAGACAAAACACCAGGTCAAGTCAGTCCACATGTTCCCTGCTGGTTTCAGATCTGGGATAAGTGAAATGATCCTGGACCACAGGCAGGAGGTTTAGAGATAGGTAAGATGGTGAGTGTGACCTCTGACCTCTCGTAGATGGTCTTCAGCGTGGCCTGGTCTGGGACCCCGTCGGTCTCTTCCAGGTACAGGATGAGCCAGGACGTCCTGTAGGGCCACTGCTCCGTCAGGTTGATCCACGACGCCAAGCGGTCCCAGTTAAAGGTGATCTGATTGGCTCTCAGCAGACGACCTGCAGGTAGAAACAGGAAGAGGGCGTTTCTAGTCTGCTGTCAGTCTCTACTGATACTGATCAGCGATCAGACGATCGGTGAGTCGCTGACCTGTGACGGAGACGATGTTGAGCAGCCTCCTCATGGTCTGTGGGCTGATGTCACTGAACCAGTCCTCCGTCACCATCAGCTTCGTCAGGTCAAACGACATCTGCCGAGTCACCGAGCGCTGCACCTGGCGCCGCCGGTACGTGTCCTGAACACATGGTCACATGATCAAACAGCCAACATCCAACGATGCTACTGTCTTGTACTACTACATTTAGTTTCTCAAATATCACAAAGATACTACGTAAAGTGTACTACTGCAGTTACACAAGTTTCACATGTTAGACTGAGGAAACTTTCAAAAACACAAACTCACTGAAGAAAAATCTGAAACAAGAAGGAAACACGAGAGACTCTGAAGTCACAGCTGAAACACAAACTCACTCTGCGGTTCAGCGTCGTCTTGCTGCCAATCTTGGTTAATTCTCCCAAACTGTGCTGAGACAGTTTCCTGTCCAGCTCCTCGTGCCAACCTGCTGACAGACAGTTATTATTTTTATGTGATACGGCAGTAGAGACGACAGGAAGGATCAGACTGAAGGTACAACTCTGATCTGACGTCCAGACTGACGACATATTTCTAACAGACCTGGATCTGATCACATATGAAAGATCAGATTCTGTTGAAGTATATCTCTGGACTCATGGTTACCTTCAGCGTTGGCGGCGTCCCCGTTAGCCGGCGCGGTCGCGCACATCTTCCTGGCGCTGGAGAGTCCTCGGCTGTTGAGAAAGACGGGCAGGTGGACGATGTTCCTCATATAGTCGTGTCCGTTGATGTTGGAGTCTCTGAGGACGCTGTTCAGGTTCTGGTTGATGGCTTTGATGATGATGTGAGGATCGCTGGCAAAGATGGCGATGAAGGGCCCTTTGGAGAACAGCACCCGCACCTGCAGGACCAACACAGGTGAGACTGCAGGTGAGGTGCAGGCTGGTGGGTGTTAGACAGCTTCTACAGTTAGAGTCAACACCAGGTGAGCTCTTTAATCTGCTGCTGTCGTGATGCAACAATCAAAAGGCTTTTAATTTGAAAAGAAAAAGTCTCGCTGACGGGTCGTTAATAACAGTATTGTTTCTGTATCCGTTACCGACTCGTCCTGATTTATGATTCCAGCTGTTTAAATGTTCGTGATGTTCGTGTATATCTCTTTCTCTCACCGTGTCCAGCATCTGCAGGACTTTGTCCTGCTCGCAGGAGTCCAGTCCGTCGATGACGACCGCCAGCCTCGTCTGATGCTGTGTGAAGCCGTCGATGGTCTTCGCCATCCTCGCCATCAGCTCCACCTCGTGCTTCAGCACCTGCAGGACAACACGTGGTACCGTTAAAAATCTGAATTACATATTCTGCACCTGCTTCAGAGTAAAAGCCTCCGGCTGTGGGAGCGCTTAAATTGTGAAGTAGCAGCAGGAAGTGAACACAGTTTTGACACAGATCGATACCTAAAGAACTGATTCTACACATCTCGTCTTCCTCGCTGCTCCCCGCCTCAATATCCCATCCCTTCAACCTTAGCTTCAGACGCCCCCCTCACCTTCAGACGCCCCCCGCAGCTTCAGACGCCCCCCTCACCTTCAGGCGGCCCCTCACCTTCAGACGGCCCCTCAGCTTCAGACGCCCCCCTCACCTTCAGACGCCCCCCGCAGCTTCAGACGCCCCCCTCACCTTCAGACGCCCCCCGCAGCTTCAGACGCCCCCCTCACCTTCAGACGGCCCCTCACCTTCAGACGGCCCCTCAGCTTCAGACGCCCCCTCAGCTTCAGACGCCCCCCTCACCTTCAGACGGCCCCTCAGCTTCAGACGCACCCTGCAGCTTCAGAAGCCCCTCTCACCTTCAGACGCCCCCCTCACCTTCAGACGCCCCCTCACCTTCAGACGCCCCCCTCACCTTCAGACGCACCCTCACCTTCAGACGCACCCTCACCTTCAGACTCCCCTCTCAACTTCAGACGCGCGCCTCACCTTCAAACGCCCTCCTCACCTTCAGACGCCCCCCTCACCTTCAAACGCCCCCCTCACCTTCAGACGCCCTCCTCACCTTCAAACGCCCCCCTCACCTTCAGACGCGCGCCTCACCTTCAAACGCCCTCCTCACCTTCAGACGCCCCCCTCACTTTCAAACGCCTCCCTCACCTTCAGACGCCCTCCTCACCTTCAGACGCCCCCCTCACCTTCAGACGCCCCCCTCAGCTACAGATGCCCCCCTCACCTTCATAAAGCCCTCGCTCTTCAGCTTGGTCATCTTGTTGGCGGCGCTGTGCAGCCTCTTCCTCTGAGAGTTCAGCACCGAGTCGGTCACTTGCCACCAGGTCCTGCAGTTCAGCAGCACGGCCAGACCCACCACGCTGCCGATGGCGATCAGCACGGCGTTCACCGTGCGGTTCTCCCCGTCCACCTTAAACACGGCCAGCAGCGCCATGCCAGTCAGCAGGCAGGCCAGCACCACGCCGAAGAGGATGAATGACGGCACGCAGCACGTCTTCTTCCACTTCCTCTTACCTGAGGTGGCAAACAGAGAAGAAGAGCTCAGTGACTGTGTTTGTGTGTGAGTTTGTGTGTGCATGTGAGTGTGTGTTACCTTGCGTCTCCTCGGTTTTAAACACTCTGAACAGGCGAGTGGCGAGGAAGCCAAACTCCCTCTCGCAGGCGTCGGACAGCGTGGCGATCATCTCAGCCATTGACGTTTCTCCTCCGACGCTCGACAGGCGGTTATAGTCTGTGAACAGGAACCTGCAGGGAGACGTGATGACATCAGTGTGACATCACGGGGTGATTTACACGTTTTCCCGACACGTGTAGACAGCTGCAGACAAGGAAACTACAGATACTGAGACCAGATTAATCACTAATGAAAACCTGAAACCTGAGTTTCTCCCCTGAATTCAGCCTCCCAGGTGAGCAGGTTACCTGACAGGCAGCGCTCTGGTGCTCTGCTCCGGCAGCTCCGGCGGGTTCACGAACATCAGCTTCAGCAGCAGCTCCAGATACCCGATGTGACGGGCCAGACGGGTGCTGAGCAGCCACGCCCAGGTCCAGCTCTCCCCTTCCCGACGCCCGCCGAAGTACACCACCACTGAGGAGGTACGGGAAAACTTTATTTAAACACCACCACTGAGGGAGAACAGGAAACATTAAGGAACTGAAAACAGACTCCTGTCCTCCCGTCGAGTTGTATCTTACCGAAGAAGAGGTAGAGCAGAGCCAGCAGGCTGAGGGAGACGGCCATGGCGAGTTTTGGGTCAACTGTGAAACCGAGGACGACAGCGATGCAGCCGCAGAGCAGCAGAGACAGAAAGACGACGAGCCAGGAGAACTGAAACAACGGCTCGATCTGCTGCCCAGCAAAAGTCTTCATCTCGTCTGAGGAGGAAGAGGAGGAGCGTTAACGTGTGTGCCTTAAAGTGTGTGCGTTCAGGCGTGTGCGTTCAGTGCGTGGACTCACCCTCCAGCTTCTTCAGCAGGAAGGACTTGCCGCTGCCCCACTGGGCGTACAGACCCACACAGATGGGCGGCTGCATGGTGGGCTCACTCAGGATGTCGGCCAGCGCAGAGCTGTACAGGTCGTAACCCAGCATGTCTCCGTCAGACTCGGTGGGGGACAGGTGACCTGAGGAGACACACAGGTGAGTGTTACTACACGAACACTTGCTGGACACGCTTTCATGCCGCCGCTCTGTGGAGTCTGACGGACGTACGCGCTCCGAAGATCTGCGTGAGGATGCTCTTCTGGTGGCTGCAGTCGATGTTGTATGGCGTCTCTCCGGCCTTATTGGGTCGGTACAGCAGGCGCCCGTCTTTGGGGTTTCTGAGGAGGAGCTCGGCCAGGCGGCGACTCCGCCCACGGATAGCGATGTGGAGGGGCGTGTCTCCTTTCTGGGAAAACAGGAAGTACAAAAGTAAACATGATGATCTCAGAGGAGAGGTGAGTTAAAGAGACGCACCGTAATTACATTCAGTTGTCTTTAATAACAGCTCAACAGTTCCTGCGTCCGTCGTCCTCACCTTGTCCACCGCCGACACCTTGGCTCCTTTATCCAGCAGCAGCTCCACAATCTCGATGTTCCTCATCTTGGTGGCTTTTATCAGAGGAGTCTCTCCGTCCTGAGACAGGAAGCATCAGACACAAAGTTACGACTCTGTACAGGTGAGACATCTCTACCTGTCTGTCTCTGCAGCAGAACCCTGCAGGTGCGTCCAGGTCTCACCTTGGTGCAGGTCTCTGTGTCGGGGTTACACTGCAGGATGTCTCTCACCATGGTGGCGTTTCCTTTCTCCACGGCCCAGTACAGCGCCGTTTTATTCTCCTGGAAATGCAGCACAGTGAAACATCAGCACGGACATCCATCTTTATTACTTTGTGACCGCACTGATGATCCGTCCTCACCTGTCCTCTGATGTCGATGTCGGCGTATTTATGCAGCAGAGCTCTGACGATCTCCACGTGACCCCCCCGCACTGCTCCAATCAGCACCGTGTCGCCGCTCTGAGCACAAATGAAAACACAGCGTCAACAAAGCTTCATCGGTGAGTAGAAGTCTGTATTTATACATGTGAGGACTTTAATATAAAAACTTCGCCTCACCCGGTCTGGGATGTTGACGTAGGTCCCGGCGTCCAGCAGGTCCTGCACGATTTCGGTGTAGCCCTCCTTGGCGGCGATCATCAGCGCCGTGTTCCCGTCTTTGTCGGTCATGTTGACGTTGGGGTTTCTCTTCAGCAGCTCCTTCACCACCTCGGTGTAGCCGCCCTTCACCGCCACGATCAGAGCCGTCATGGAGTTCTGCGCAGAGAAGCGTGATGCAGCAGCAGAATATCAACCCGAAATAACCACAGCGTCATCTTATAAATGAGCGTAATGACACATTAGTTCCTCACAGCTCATTGGTCAGAAGATGTTTCTTTAAATGTTTTATGTGTTTGGATAACTAACAAACTGGTTTAGAGATTCATGCGTCAGCAGAAGTCTTTTTGGTATTTATTTGGATCTACTGGGAAAAAACTGACAGACAGTACTGGTACTGTAGTAAAGTACTACACAGCACTGGTACTGCAGTGATAACGGTGAGAGCTGCGTGGTGGAGTGTGGTCGTACCGCCCCCTCCTGGTCGACGTCGGCTCCGTTCTCCAGCAGGTGCATCACACAGTCAAAGTGTCCTTTCCTGGCCGCCCAGATCAGAGGAGTCGTCCCGTACTGCAACACACACAAGTACACAACATCATGTACATCATGTACATGTACATATATATAGTGACACAAGTTTTACTAAAGTGATTTGAAAATCAGCCATCAGACAGTTGAAACGTGTCGTGTAACCACACTGAGCGCCACGTCAGCGTTCATCTCTGCAGACGGACTTTTAAAGGTCGGCAGAGACCGATGTGACGTTCGGTGTGATGATGAAACAAGTTTCTGTTTTTTCAGATTGTACAGAATTGAATAAAAGCCAGTGGCTGGAACAAAACATCCACCTTCAGGACGGTTCGCTAAAGGGGTTAGTTTTATTTAAAGTTCAGCTGCTCACCTTGTCAGAACAGTTGACTTTAGCTCCGCTCTGCAGCAGCAGTTTGACGATGTCGGCGTGTCCTCGACCGGCAGCCCAGATGATCGGATACACGCTGTACTGCTGCAGAGACACACAGAGAGACAGGAGGTGTCAGTGTAACGAGGGTCGTCCTCCATCAGACTGAACTGAGGAGTTACAGTGGACGTGCAGGTGTACCTAATAAAGTGGCCACTCAGTGTTGAATGTGTTACCTGTCCTGTGGTGTTGGGGTTGGCCCCGTGCTCCAGCAGCAGCTCGGTGACCTCCACGCGACCTTTGTAAGACGCCCACGTCAGCGCCGTCCAGCCTCCCTGAGACACAGTGACATCATCACCACGAGGTTAAAGCACACAGGAGGCCAGTTATCAGAAATACTTCACTGATCCCCGGGAAGAAACTCTGCGTATGAAGGAAGAGAACTAATAAAGAAAGTAGGTGAGTTTTCATAACGTCATTTTACATGACAGTTAAATTCATTTTATTTTTGTTTTTTATGCTGACGATGTAATTATTTGACTAACTCACATTTACATCAGAGTTTTATTGATGTGCTCTGTCCTGTTAAAATATACTGAATACATAAATAAAGTAGAAAATATAACCAAATATACAAAATATAAAAGTATTAATATAGAAGAGTATAAAACAACTAATTTTCAACTAAACAAGATAAAAACTTTTATCCAGATTTTAATTATATTTCTTATACATTTTGTTCTGTGACTGAAAACACATCACCAATTTTATTCTTCCTTATTTTGTATGTTTTTATTTATATCATTTGCACCTGAATAACTTCATGTGTATCTTTTAGGAAACGTTACAAAAACATGTCGTTTTTTGGACCTTTATTGAGTTTTATTACATCACTTTTGATGCCGTTGATGCTTTCAAAAGTTAAATATACTGAGAAAGAAAGTTTAGAGCCATAGTTTAAACAAACATAAAAATATTACTTACTGTGATTTAATTATTCATGTTTAAAAGGGTTAAAGCAGATCATGTGTCGCTGACACCCAAAATAAATCTGAATTAAATAAATGATATGACAACTGTTTCTAAATAAATACTCCTCTGTTGATTATATATCGCGCGTCGCTGTGCGCAGGTCACATGACCCAGCTGTAGGCGCCCCCGGGTCTCACCATGTCCCTGTGCTCAATGTAGGCGCTGTTCTCCAGCAGCTCCTTCACCACGTCCTCGTGACCTTCTTTAGCGGCGCAGATCAGAGCCGACCAGCAGTCCTGATGACACGGAGATAGAGAGACGGCATTACCACGGAAACAAGCCACGATTACCTCTGTCTCCTAGCAACCACAGCCTCCCAGTGAGGAGAGCAGAAGGTGGGGGGGAGGGGTGCGTCCGACTGGCTCACCACGTCGTCCAGGTTGACGTTGGCTCCCCTCCTGATGAGCTCCTGGACGATCTCCATGCTGCCCTGCTCCGCCGCCAGCATCAGGGGGGTCTGACCGTTCTGCCAACACACAAACAAACAATCAGGAAACACGCCGCACAGACAGGGAGACCCAGGGGCGGGGCGGGGAGGACACGTACGTCGCTGCGTCCGTCCACCTCCTTGAAGCGGTCCAGGTGAGCCTTCAGGGCCGCCAGGTTCTCCTCCTCCACGTAGCTGAACAGGTTCTGGATGGCCAGGGTGGTCATCTTGATGGACGTGGTGGTGTCCATGTCTGCGGTCCGTCAGTGCGCCCCCTGCTGACAGGAGAGAGAGCGCCACAACACATCAGAGCAGCACGGGGACACAGGTCACAGGCTGCAGCAGTGAACGCTCCCCTCACTCCGTGCTCGCTCTTTGTTTCCTTCGTGTCTCTGAATATTCGATCACCCAGTTTTTGTGCTTCCTGCTTGTGCCTCTGGGTTTTTCCACTCTGTGTTTTCAGTGTTTGTCCTGTATAATTAAATAACAAATCAGCCATTTTCTGAATTTCTATTCATTTATTAATTATTTATAAGAGAGAATAAACAGAGAAGGAGTAAAACACAGAGACCTGCTGCCCTGGGTGGCTTCTGGCCCCGAGCAAAGGGCTGCATGATCACTTACACAGACTGGGTTCCTGTGTTTAGGGGAACAGAGATCCTCTCCTGGATCAGCCTCAACAGTCTCACAGCTCTGACCTAAACCCTACTGATGTGAACAGACTAATAAAGAGTCTAATTATACAATAATAGTAATAATAGTGTTTCCCATATGTTCATTTATTTGTGGCGGCCCACCACAATATCAACGCTGAACGCCACGTATTGATTTCAGATTTTTTTTTACCGGGACTAATTAAAATCATATTTGATTGCAGAGCGCTGTAGGACGTCCTCTCGCTCGTCCCTCTCTCGTCCCTCTCTCTTTCTCCCTCTCCCTCACAACTGCTCAAATCTGTCCAACACAACGCTGTCAATGTCGGCGACCCAGCTTAAAGAAGTTACTAACGAGCATGTAGGAGCCTCGCTAATTAGGAGAGCTGAGTTACTGTTAAAACAGCTGGATGTTCCAGGCCGGCACGCTGCGTAGAGCTGGTCAATATCGACTGCACCCTTGTGACTCTGCAGCTGTTGGACAATAAATAAAAGCAGCTTTCGTCTGGTTTGAACTCTGACTGTGGCTAATGTAGTCAGGACATTAATGACTGATTAATGATTAATAATTATTATTGAGGTGAACACGTTTTCAGGTAAAACACAGTGATGTTCAGACGGCTGATGATGCTGTTTTTCTCCGCTCTGTTTTTATTAAAGACCACAGGAATCTCTGTTTGTACTTTGCTTCCATCGAGAACCGTTCATCCAGTTCACTTCACACAAGGGAGGGTTCAGAATAAATAAATATATTCTTTTCAGGATTACAGAAAGTTCTGAACTTCTGCACTGAGACAGACGGGTGCTGAGCAGCTGTGTTCATGTTTACTATAGTAATGTTTAATATAGTAATGTTTACTAATGTTTACTATAGTAATGTTTACTAATGTTTACTATAGTAATGTTTACTATAGTAATGTTTACTAATGTTTACTATAGTAATGTTTACTAATGTTTACTATAGTAATGTTTAATATAGTAATGTTTAATATAGTAATGTTTACTAATGTTTACTATAACAATGTTTACTATAGTAATGTTTACTATAGTAATGTTTACTAATGTTTACTATAGTAATGTTTAATATAGTAATGTTTAATATAGTAATGTTTACTAATGTTTACTATAGTAATGTTTAATATAGTAATGTTTAATATAGTAATGTTTACTAATGTTTACTAAAGTAATGTTTAATATAGTAATGTTTACTAATGTTTACTATAGTAATGTTTACTATAGTAATGTTTACTAATGTTTACTATAGTAATGTTTACTATAGTAATGTTTACTATAGTAATGTTTACTAATGTTTACTATAGTAATGTTTACTAATGTTTACTATAGTAATGTTTACTAATGTTTACTATAGTAATGTTTAATATAGTAATGTTTACTATAGTAATGTTTACTAATGTTTACTATAGTAATGTTTAATATAGTAATGTTTACTAATGTTTACTATAGTAATGTTTACTAATGTTTACTATAGTAATGTTTAATATAGTAATGTTTACTATAGTAATGTTTACTAATGTTTACTATAGTAATGTTTAATATAGTAATGTTTACTAATGTTTACTATAGTAATGTTTACTAATGTTTACTATAGTAATGTTTAATATAGTAATGTTTACTAATGTTTACTATAGTAATGTTTAATATAGTAATGTTTACTATAGTAATGTTTACTATAGCAATGTTTAATATAGTAATGTTTACTAATGTTTACTATAGTAATGTTTAATATAGTAATGTTTACTAATGTTTACTATAGTAATGTTTACTATAGTAATGTTTACTAATGTTTACTATAGTAATGTTTACTATAGTAATGTTTACTAATGTTTACTATAGTAATGTTTGATATAGTAATGTTTACTAATGTTTACTAAAGTAATGTTTACTATAGTAATGTTTACTAATGTTTACTATAGTAATGTTTACTAATGTTTACTATAGTAATGTTTACTATAGTAATGTTTACTAATGTTTACTATAGTAATGTTTACTAATGTTTACTAAAGTAATGTTTACTATAGTAATGTTTACTATAGTAATGGTTACTAATGTTTACTAAAGTAATGTTTACTAATGTTTACTAAAGTAATGTTTACTATAGTAATGTTTACTATAGTAATGTTTACTATAGTAATGTTTACTAATGTTTACTATAGTAATGTTTACTATAGTAATGTTTACTAATGTTTACTATAGTAATGTTTAATATAGTAATGTTTACTAATGTTTACTAAAGTAATGTTTACTAATGTTTACTAAAGTAATGTTTACTAATGTTTACTAAAGTAATGTTTACTATAGTAATGTTTACTATAGTAATGTTTACTAATGTTTACTAAAGTAATGTTTACTATAGTAATGTTTACTATAGTAATGTTTACTATAGTAATGTTTACTATAGTAATGTTTAATATAGTAATGTTTACTATAGTAATGTTTACTAATGTTTACTATAGTAATGTTTACTATAGTAATGTTTACTAATGTTTACTATAGTAATGTTTAATATAGTAATGTTTACTAATGTTTACTATAGTAATGTTTAATATAGTAATGTTTACTATAGTAATGTTTAATATAGTAATGTTTACTAATGTTTACTATAGTAATGTTTAATATAGTAATGTTTACTATAATAATGTTTAATATAGTAATGTTTACTAATGTTTACTAAAGTAATGTTTACTATAGTAATATTTACTATAGTAATGTTTACTAATGTTTACTAAAGTAATGTTTACTAATGTTTACTATAGTAATGTTTAATATAGTAATGTTTACTAATGTTTACTATAGTAATGTTTAATATAGTAATGTTTACTATAGTAATGTTTAATATAGTAATGTTTACTAATGTTTACTATAGTAATGTTTACTATAGTAATGTTTACTATAGTAATGTTTAATATAGTAATGTTTACTAATGTTTACTAAAGTAATGTTTACTATAGTAATATTTACTAAAGTAATGTTTACTAATGTTTACTAAAGTAATGTTTACTAAAGTAATGTTTACTATAGTAATGTTTACTATAGTAATGTTTACTATAGTAATGTTTAATATAGTAATGTTTACTATAGTAATGTTTACTAATGTTTACTATAGTAATGTTTACTATAGTAATGTTTACTAATGTTTACTATAGTAATGTTTAATATAGTAATGTTTACTAATGTTTACTATAGTAATGTTTACTATAGTAATGTTTAATATAGTAATGTTTACTATAGTAATGTTTACTAATGTTTACTATAGTAATGTTTACTAATGTTTACTATAACAATGTTTACTATAGTAATGTTTACTAATGTTTACTATAGTAATGTTTAATATAGTAATGTTTACTAATGTTTACTATAGTAATGTTTACTAATGTTTAATATAGTAATGTTTACTAATGTTTACTAAAGTAATGTTTAATATAGTAATGTTTACTAATGTTTACTATAGTAATGTTTACTAATGTTTACTATAGTAATGTTTACTAATGTTTACTATAGTAATGTTTACTATAGTAATGTTTACTATAGTAATGTTTAATATAGTAATGTTTACTAATGTTTACTATAGTAATGTTTACTAATGTTTACTATAGTAATGTTTACTATACTAATGTTTACTATAGTAATGTTTAATATAGTAATGTTTACTAATGTTTACTATAGTAATGTTTAATATAGTAATGTTTACTAATGTTTACTATAGTAATGTTTACTAATGTTTACTATAGTAATGTTTACTATAGTAATGGTTACTAATGTTTACTAAAGTAATGTTTACTAATGTTTACTAAAGTAATGTTTACTATAGTAATGTTTACTATAGTAATGTTTACTAATGTTTACTATAGTAATGTTTACTATAGTAATGTTTACTAATGTTTACTATAGTAATGTTTAATATAGTAATGTTTACTAATGTTTACTAAAGTAATGTTTACTAATGTTTACTAAAGTAATGTTTACTATAGTAATGTTTACTATAGTAATGTTTACTAATGTTTACTAAAGTAATGTTTACTAATGTTTACTAAAGTAATGTTTACTATAGTAATGTTTACTATAGTAATGTTTACTATAGTAATGTTTACTAATGTTTACTATAGTAATGTTTAATATAGTAATGTTTAATATAGTAATGTTTACTAATGTTTACTAATGTTTACTATAGTAATGTTTACTATACTAATGTTTACTATAGTAATGTTTAATATAGTAATGTTTACTAATGTTTACTATAGTAATGTTTACTATAGTAATGGTTACTAATGTTTACTAAAGTAATGTTTACTAAAGTAATGTTTACTATAGTAATGTTTACTATAGTAATGTTTACTAATGTTTACTATAGTAATGTTTACTATAGTAATGTTTACTAATGTTTACTATAGTAATGTTTAATATAGTAATGTTTACTAATGTTTACTAAAGTAATGTTTACTAATGTTTACTAAAGTAATGTTTACTAATGTTTACTAAAGTAATGTTTACTAATGTTTACTAAAGTAATGTTTACTATAGTAATGTTTACTATAGTAATGTTTACTAATGTTTACTAAAGTAATGTTTACTAATGTTTACTAAAGTAATGTTTACTATAGTAATGTTTACTATAGTAATGTTTACTATAGTAATGTTTACTAATGTTTACTATAGTAATGTTTAATATAGTAATGTTTAATATAGTAATGTTTACTAATGTTTACTATAGTAATGTTTACTATAGTAATGTTTACTAATGTTTACTATAGTAATGTTTAATATAGTAATGTTTACTAATGTTTACTATAGTAATGTTTAATATAGTAATGTTTACTATAGTAATGTTTAATATAGTAATGTTTACTAATGTTTACTATAGTAATGTTTAATATAGTAATGTTTACTATAGTAATGTTTAATATAGTAATGTTTACTAATGTTTACTAAAGTAATGTTTACTATAGTAATATTTACTATAGTAATGTTTACTAATGTTTACTAAAGTAATGTTTACTAATGTTTACTATAGTAATGTTTAATATAGTAATGTTTACTAATGTTTACTATAGTAATGTTTAATATAGTAATGTTTACTAATGTTTACTATAGTAATGTTTAATATAGTAATGTTTACTATAGTAATGTTTAATATAGTAATGTTTACTAATGTTTACTATAGTAATGTTTAATATAGTAATGTTTACTATAGTAATGTTTAATATAGTAATGTTTACTAATGTTTACTAAAGTAATGTTTACTATAGTAATATTTACTAAAGTAATGTTTACTAATGTTTACTAAAGTAATGTTTACTAATGTTTGCTAAAGTAATGTTTACTATAGTAATGTTTACTATAGTAATGTTTACTATAGTAATGTTTACTAATGTTTACTATAGTAATGTTTACTATAGTAATGTTTACTAATGTTTACTATAGTAATGTTTAATATAGTAATGTTTACTAATGTTTACTATAGTAATGTTTACTAATGTTTACTATAGTAATGTTTAATATAGTAATGTTTAATATAGTAATGTTTACTATAGTAATGTTTAGTAATGTTTACTATAGTAATGTTTACTATAGTAATGTTTACTAATGTTTACTATAGTAATGTTTACTAATGTTTACTATAACAATGTTTACTATAGTAATGTTTACTAATGTTTACTATAGTAATGTTTAATATAGTAATGTTTACTAATGTTTACTATAGTAATGTTTACTAATGTTTAATATAGTAATGTTTACTAATGTTTACTAAAGTAATGTTTAATATAGTAATGTTTACTAATGTTTACTATAGTAATGTTTACTAATGTTTACTATAGTAATGTTTACTAAAGTAATGTTTACTATAGTAATGTTTACTAATGTTTACTAATGTTTACTATAGTAATGTTTACTATAGTAATGTTTACTATAGTAATGTTTACTAATGTTTACTATAGTAATGTTTACTATAGTAATGTTTACTAATGTTTACTATAGTAATGTTTACTAATGTTTACTATAGTAATGTTTAATATAGTAATGTTTACTATACTAATGTTTACTATAGTAATGTTTAATATACTAATGTTTACTAATGTTTACTATAGTAATGTTTAATATAGTAATGTTTACTAATGTTTACTATAGTAATGTTTACTATAGTAATGTTTACTAATGTTTACTATAGTAATGTTTACTAATGTTTACTATAACAATGTTTACTAATGTTTACTATAGTAATGTTTAATATAGTTATGTTTACTAATGTTTAGTATAGTAATGTTTACTATAGTAATGTTTACTAATGTTTACTATAGTAATGTTTAATATAGTAATGTTTACTAATGTTTACTATAGTAATGTTTAATATAGTTATGTTTACTAATGTTTACTATAGTAATGTTTACTATAGTAATGTTTACTAATGTTTACTATAGTAATGTTTAATATAGTAATGTTTACTAATGTTTACTATAGTAATGTTTAATATAGTAATGTTTACTAATGTTTACTATAGTAATGTTTAATATAGAAATGTTTAATATAGTAATGTTTAATATAGTAATGTTTAATATAGTAATGTTTAATATAGTAATGTTTACTAATGTTTACTATAGTAATGTTTAATATAGTAATGTTTACTAATGTTTACTATAGTAATGTTTAATATAGAAATGTTTAATATAGTAATGTTTAATATAGTAATGTTTAATATAGAAATGTTTAATATAGTAATGTTTAATATAGAAATGTTTACTATAGTAATGTTTAATATAGTAATGTTTAATATAGTAATGTCCACAGAACACATAGTAAGAACCTCATGATCTTCTGTTTCACAAACTGGATCAAATGTGTTAACTGATGAGTTTTCATAATGAATGAAGGTGAAGATGCTGAAGTCATGTGTCATTCATTCATTAAATACATTTATCATAGTATACTTAAAGTATTTACAGACCTCACTTTTGTTCATTTACAGTAAATGAAATGTTCTTTAATATTTTGGTGCTTCCACTCCTGCTGCGCTCAAACTGCCATCTCCTGCTTGATGAGGCGGATACGCGAGAGGAAGAAGCCACAAAGAGCCGGGAGGCGTCCTGTCGGCCCCTGGGAACGGGGCCCTGCACTACTGATATTTAAACGCTTCTCTGCAGGACGACCGATAACCTGCTTCAATCAGCGGAGAGATGACGGGGGCGGTGACATTTCACCGTCACCACGGAAACACCACCGGCCAATCAGAGATCAATGGAGGCTCACTGTCACCATGGAAACAGCCTCCAGGCGATGGAGAGCTGAGCGCAGCTTCGTTTCACTAAAAGGGGGACGCGTCCAATGGTCCATGGCTCAGCGTGTGATTATTATCTTTATTACTGGTTACTGATCAGTCCTCAGGGGCACAGACAGGTCCGAAATACCTGACGTTAATTCTGATAATCTAAAGACAACATAAAACAGGAGCGATATTTCCTACCATCAGAATACTGCAGTACTACATCACCAGTGAAGGATTTTAAAGGTACTACTTTCCCCGGTCGTGTTCGGGTCACCTGGCGAGCTAAAGTAAGCCCGAGGCCAGACGCCGTCTCTCTGCCAGCCGTCCTGATAAGGACGTTATCCGTCTCCTTGGTAACCAAGGTCGAGATAACCTTTATTTTGTTTCATCACAGACAGGAAGTAGACTTCAGATTTGGCCTTGCATGTGTTTTACACAGGGGGCGACTCCAGCGGCCGCAGAAAGAAACTGTTTCTACTTGTCAGCTGATTTATTCCCTCAGTAAACACTTTCCTGATGAGTTTATGGTCTCAGTCGCTAGTTTCAAGTCTTCTTCAACACAGCATGATGTTCATTTAGTAAATTATGGTCCCATTTAGAGGAACAGAGACCAGGAAGCAGGGGAGGCTTTAGGGCGGGGCTACAAGCTGACTGACAACCTGTCAATCAGGATAGAGGCGACTCGTATCCGCCGCTCTGTGAACATTTAACTGCTCATTTTTCAGGAGGTACGTTTAGTTTGAAGCCTGTTTGTCGCTAGCTAAAATTAGCATCCCAGCTAATAAGAACTACAGATGCACCTAGCTAACCTCTCGTCTCGTCTCGTCTAAATATAAAAATGGTGAAAAATGTCGATCAGTGTTTCCCAGAGATCCTCACAGGGCGTGGTGATGGTACAGTGGATAAGACAGGGTCAATCCCCCGCTGTGACACGTCCACCAACGTGTCCCTGAGCGAGACCCTTGACCCCTCGTTGCTCCAGAGGCGTGTGACCTCTGACAGCTATTTTTGTCCACAACCTAAATATATTTAGTTTACTGAGGAAGTAAAGAAACCAGAAGATATTAACATTTAAGAAGCTGAATCAGAGAATCTTTATTTGAAAAATGACTCGATTAATCGACTTTGGAAATAGTTGCCATTTAATTTAATAATTGACAGCTGATGAATTATTCGATCAATCATTGCGGTTGTAAGGTTTACTGTGGCAGTTTTCTATTTGATCTCTATGTATTTTACAGTCTGGCCGCGTGAATGAGGGTGAACTCTGCTGTATTGATCTGTGAACCTGCTTCTCTTTAAATCTCTAATAATAACATGGAGGTCTGGTGCAGCGATTACAACCTTTTATTATTATTATTATTATTATTATTAAATGTAAAAACAACATTACAACAGAACTAATAATAGAAACCAGTGTTACAGATTATTATATTACTATAATCTTGATTTATCAGACAGACAGAGGCGCCGTCCTGTGTAGTAAACGTTTAATGAACACAGAGAAACACGTAGCGTCGGTCTCCGGTTGTCTGTGTCGGTGTGTCTGCTGCGGCGGCGCAGTAACCGGAATAACCTTCAGTCTGCGGGCGGAACCAACAGGAGGCTCGATAACCTGTTTAATAAGCGAATTAAGTGTTTAATCGCCTTTAAATGTGCAGAAATCAAACACACGGCGGAAACGTTACAGTGTTTTCTCATCGCCTGTCAGTCAGACATGAACGGGTGACGGGAGAGGATGCTGACGGGAAAACATCGAGAGGAAAACCACCGTCGCGTTTACCTTCAGAACAGAATCAGGTCCGGGTCTCGGGTCTCGGGTCTTGGGTCCGGGTCTCGGGTCCGGGTCTCGTGTCTTGGGTCCGGGTCTCGGGTCCGGGTCTCGGGTGTGTCAGCGTCTGCTCGGCCTGCGCTCGGATGACAGCCTGAGATCACTCTGCATCCCGAACAACAGCAGCAGCCATCTTTGTTCCGCACAATAACCGACAGCCAGCCAACCGCAGCGTCAAGCGCGCCAAAATCACACCGGCGCTTCCCGCTCGTTGCTGCCAAAATAAAAGCACCCGATGTTACGGCACATTAGTTTGCTAAAACAATCCGACAGCTTTACAGGTTTTTACATGATTATTCTGTCCCTGCTGTCCTCCAGCCAGAGCCCGACCACCACTCTGACTTCATTTCTCTTTATACATGCTCATATTATTTTATCTTCACCTGAACACCAAGCAGACCGCGCTTGGTAATTTATTTTGTAGGTGTGTAAATGTCGTTTCAAGAGAGGACTTTATTCCTGTTTTTATTTCAAGAAATAGTTTTAGCATGTAGGCTAATTATGGCTGCACCTACTGGTTATAAATCTACCAATCAGTTCATCGCTTTCTGTGTAAAATGTTGGCAATAATCTTGTCCATCACCTAATCTATTAGTTTACCAATTTATTCATCTGTATCCTGCTTCAGGCTCACTCACTGGCTCATCCTCAGGAAAACTGTTACATGTCAGTTCCTACATTTACACAGTGAGGTGAAGATAATTTGGATTTACTGATGTTTTCTGAATTATTTTTCCTGTTGGTTTTAATAATATGCTTTTATTTTTCATTATTTGGACGGAGCTGGTGTCTCCGTTTATTATCTGAGGAATAAACATAAGTACTGATAAACAGAGTGTGAGAGCAGGAGCTCCACTCGGCCTGGCTCAATATCAGTTTATTAGGGTTTAAAGTGCAGACAGTTTGCAGAAGGTCTTATCTTTATGTTCCACTGATCACCGTGTACACCCTGCTGAAGTAAAAGTTCAGGGCTTTTGTCCCAGACACAATTTATCCAGGGGGTAACCAACCATGTGCCCTGGAGAGTCCTCAGTCTGAACCTCCACCCGCTGACTCTCCTGGTCAGGGAGACTCTCCTGACAATGGTACACCTCCACTACTTCTCTGCTTCTCCATCCATTAATTTGTTTGCCACTTATCAAGGTCCAATGTAGGCTACTGTACAGCAGGCTAAGTAGCCCACAGATCCTTCTCCTTAACTACTTTCTCCAGCTTCTACTGGGGGATCCCAGGCCCTAAACTCTAAAAGGCCAATCTCTAAAACTATGCCATAGGTACGCCATAACCTACTCATACCCTACACCGTACCCTATGCTGTACCCTGCCTGCACCCTAAGCCTTATCCTACCCATTCCCTACACCGTACCCTATGCTGTACCCTACCTGCACCCTAAGCCTTATCCTACCTGTTCCCTACACTGTACCCTATGCTGTACCCTACCTGCACCCTAAGCCTTATCCTACCCGTTCCCTACACCGTACCCTATGCTGTACCCTGCCTGCACCCTAAGCCTTATCCTACCCGTTCCCTACACCGTACCCTATGCTGTACCCTACCTGCACCCTAAGCCTTATCCTACCCGTTCCCTACACCGTACCCCATGCTGTACCCTGCCTGCACCCTAAGCCTTATCCTACCCGTTCCCTACACCGTACTCTATGCTGTACCATACCTGCACCCTAAGCCTTATCCTACCCGTTCCCTACACCGTACCCCATGCTGTACCCTGCCTGCACCCTAAGCCTTATCCTACCCGTTCCCTACACCGTACCCTATGCTGTACCCTACCTGCACCCTAAGCCTTATCCTACCCATTCCCTACACCGTATCCTACTCATACCCAACACCATACCATACGCGATACCCTACGCCGTAACCTTTGCCATGCCCTACTCAATCCCTTCATCATATCCTGCACCGTTGCCTATTCGTAACCTTCGCCATGCCCTACTCTTACCCTACATCATATCCTGCACCATTGCCTACTCTTACCCTACATCATATCCTGCACCATTGCCTATTCGTAACCTTCGCCATGCCATACTCTTACCCTACATCATATCCTGCACCATTGCCTATTCGTAACCTTCGCTGTAGCCTGACGTGCACCTCCCTAAAAATCTAACTTCACAACACAGACCGCAAGTCCTGTTATTGGTCGGCTTGGTAGCGTCCCACTTCCTCCTACACATTTCCTACTCATCCTTCTTCTTCTGCCTTAACTGGTTCAAGGGTCGTACATATCATCGCCTCCAACGCCTTCTCTTGTTTCTGCTAGTTAGTAATTCCCTAAAACTGTTGTTCAACATCGATCAGCTCCAACTCTCAACATGAGAGGAACCCCTACGCCAACTAGCGTTTGTGGTGGTGTTACTGCAGAATGATGCAGACACCAACGCGACAGCGCACTTATCCTGCGCCATTGCCTTCGGCATAAACCCGCTACTGAGGTATAAATTGGCCTTAACCCTTCCCGGCCTAATGAGATAATCCCTACAGTGTGTTGTGGGTCTGCCCCAGGGCGTCCCAGTAATACATGTCCAGAATAGGTCCACAGAGAGGCGTCCTGATTAGATGCTGGCTCCATTCACCTAGAAGAACATGTATCCATAACCACAAAGCTCATGACCACAGTTGATGGTTGGATTGAAAAACAACTGGTTGACTGAGACACTATTTAAACTGAGTTTCACCACGTTGATACTGTTGTTCATACGGTGTGAACAGCACTTCAGAGACATGATGACAAATCAGTAATATCTGTTCTGTCGTAGGTATAAAAGATCATCGCAACCACAGAGTAACAGTCTTGCAATGTCAAGTGTCAAAAAAATCCAAGGTTTTAATCACATCATTTACAAAAAACAAACAAACATATCGTCCATATCAAACCTACAGATAGGTGGCTGGTTGGGTGAGAGAACATTAATCGTTGTGTTTCATCTCAAATAATTACTGTAGCCTCGATTCATCAGCAAAGTCACGTCCTCGTCCAGGTCTCGTGAAAGAACTAACACTAATGGCAAAATACAAACGTGGAAACAGGAAAACAGACGGGAAAATAAAGAAATGTCCTTTCATGATTTCTGCGAAGGAAACACAATTACAGAGATTAAGTAGTTAGCGATTGAAACTAATGAAGAATCAAAATGGTACGATGTCCTTTTGTCTCTTCTAACCAATTCTCTTTAACCTTGAGGGGAGAAACCAAGAGGTCACCAAGAAGAGATGGGTAAGACAGTGATAATGTACTCTGGGCTACAGAACCATGCAGTGTTGGTACGTACAGTCAGTGCCTGGTACTAACGTTGCATGATGCGTTCTTTTTTTAATGAAATATTACTGTAGTATTACTGTAGTAAGAAGCTGGCACAGAAGAAAACTTTAGCTAAACTGACAGAAACTTTAATAGCTAGAGGGAAGCTCGACCATTAGCCAAACTGGGTTCAGCGCTGTCCTGATAGCTAACCTGTATCAACTGGTTGTAGCTAAGCTGAGCCAGTAGCTACAGGTTTAGCTTCTACACTGAGCTGTTAGCCATTCCCAAACAAATCTTTTTAGCTAAACCGTTCGCTAACCTGAATAATTAGCTAACCAAACTGTTAAAGCTGACGAAGTGAATCATTTGCAAACCAGAACCAACTGATTTAGCTTTTCAATGTAATGTCAGCTAATCTGAAGCAAACTCTACCTGCCAAACCGCCCATTCGCTAAAATAACTGTTTTGGTGTGAGTGCTTTCTCATCGAGCTGTTAGCTAACCAGAACCTAACATTTTAGCCTCTAAACTGAACCATTAGCTGTACCAACGTTCACTAACTAAACTGTTAAAACTGATAAAGTGAATCATTTGCTAACATTAACTTTAATTAAATTTAGCTTCTTTAATGAACTTTTAGCTAACTGGACCCAAACATTTTGCCTGAACCATTTGCTGTAGCAACTGTACTTTACTAGCTAACCTGATCTAAACTGGTTTGTCAGTTAAACTAATAGCCTACACTTTACAGTTAGCTAACGCAGACTTTTTTTTTGGTTTCCACGCTGATGTGTAAGCTAACTTAAACAAAACCGTTTTAGCTTCAAAAGTAAAACATTAGCTGAACCAATCTAGATAGCCCCTTTCAGTTCACTGAACCAGCTGTTACAGGCGTTGGCTAACCTAAACCAGATTACTTTTTGTTCCTAAACTGAACCATTAGCTAACCTGAACAGTTTTAGCTTCTAAACTAAACATTAGCTGAACTGAACGAGCTAACGGGTGAAACTGCTGGGTTCACTTCCTGTGGTTATGTGATGCTAATATGGAAGGAAACCCAATCTGAGCTGTTGTGAAGCGTTTCCCTCTTCTTCAAGCTGAATCTCCACACATCTTACATCAAACCACAACTAAGTTTGGAGTTACATAAATAACAACATGACAATAACTGACATCTACAAATGTAAACACGACGTCCTCCTGACCACCCACACATCCAGAAAGATACTGATCCTGCAAAGTAGCACTTCTTCTTCTTCGTCTTGTAAAAAAACAGAACTAAGGCGACTGAGTGGAATTAATCATTGGCACTTTCTCCAAACTCATGTGTATGAATACTGTGATATAGTTGGTTTAATAGATTGTAACACGGTCTGGGAGGAATGTGGAGGAGAAAAGATCATTTTAACCATCTAGGTTCACTCGTTTACATGTTTTTAATGCACTAACTCACGGGCCTGCTTATTCGTTCTTTTACCTCACTCATATTCACGCAGCTTCTCTTTGACTTTTAACATGCTTTCTTTCGTTCATGTATTCATTTAATCATACGTTCAGTCATTTCCCTATTCATCCTTTCATTTATTTCTCCCTTTATTCATTCAATTCTGCAGATGGACAGTCAGGAGGTTTCTGACCAGACAGAAAATTGACTCAGTTCAACACTACACAGGTGGCCCTGACACTTCCAGGCAGCTGCTCCATATGAAGTTACAGTATATATATATGTACTTATATATATATATATTTATATATATATATATATATATATTTATCTTTATATCCTCCACCATAGCAGGTTCATCTGAACCTGCCACCTGACCCAAAAAATGTTCACTTGTGATGTTTATCAGTCCGAATGCTATCCCGGCAGTCGTACC